CATCAAACATTTTAAACAAAAGTAAAATTCAATTTCGAGGCTTAGTGATAAGACTACTGTTGTCTTCTTTTTGCCCCGGCCATGTAAATATTTATTTATACATTTTGGTATTGTAGCAATATTTAAACGACGAAACATACATATATATATATATACATATATATATATATATATATATATATATATATATATATATATATATATATATATATATATATATATATATATATATATATATATATATAAATCTAATATTAAAAAAAAAAAAGAAAGAAAATAAACATTCCATAATAGCATTTCTATATTGTTTTTGTCATTCAAGTTAATGTTTTAATATAACTTGTTTTGCAGTAATTTATTATATTTATTGTGGTAGTTAAAAGTTTAAATGTTTAAAAAAATAGAAAAACAAAGAATTTTATGACTTCAAATTTATGTTAAGCTAATGCATCAAGCACTTTTTATTTAAAACAAGAAACAATTTTTAGATGCTCCTGGACCTTTCTATGACATTTTTAATTGAATGAACTCTAAATAGAACACTGAACCACCAAACCATTCAGCAACCAACTTCATTAATTTTTATAATTAGTATGTGTTTTTTAGCTGTCTGTCAATGTAATTTTCTCCTTGTTTATTTATATAATATCATTATCAGCCTCTGCTTCCAACACAAGATTTTAATTTATTGATGCCCTTTTTCTTTTTGAATATCTTTGAAAACTAGTCTTGATACTCCAGATTTAAATGTAGATATACAATACAGTTTTAAAGATATTGACACTCTGTCCCAAGCTCTTTTTTAGCAATTTGTTAAAAAAGAGGTTGAAGAATAGAATAGTGTTGTTAAGAATAGTTGGAGAATAGGATAAACAATTTGTTAAGAATACAGGCTTTCTTAACAATTTGTTAAGAAAATTTGTACCTAACTATTTTTTAGGGTGAAGAATTCAAAAATGATGACTAAAACACCACTAAATCAAATGTAAAATTTTGTCCAAAATAATTTAAAAACTTTAGTATATTTTCTGATGCCCCTGTATATAAAAAAGTATATCTTGAGATACCAAAACTTTAGTATATTTTCTGATGCCCCTAAAAAAAAAGTATATCTTGAGATGCCAAAAAGATGACTTAAATTCTTATGATTCAATATATAACTCCATAATAAAAATAAAATAGAACTGTTTTAAATCAGATATATTTGTAGCGAAAGTTTCAAGTTGAAAAAGATAAAATAATTAGTGGTTGGCTTTGTCTGAGCCACAAATGTATTTAAGTTTTAGCATTGCCCTATAACTCAGCTTGATTATAGATCATAACTTGCTATAATTCATTTAATTCATAAAATCCAAAAAGAAAAAAGGTTTCGTGTTTAATTAATAATTAACCATGAAAATAATTCAAAACATTGTAACTAAGCAAAATTATTTTGCAAAACAATAACTAAAGTATGACAAAAAATAAAACTCAAAATAACAAAAAGTATATATAAATGCTGTTCAGATTAGCTAAGTTAATTTCTCTAATAAATTAACTTATAAAGTTAAATGTAAACTAAATAACGTGTATATACTAATAGTAAAATTTTTTTAAAAGTTATTAATTGCAATTAGAAAACTTAATTGCTAACAAAGTGGCTTTTCATTTTCAAGGACATGTTTGATAGATAATAAAAAATACTTTACTCTTTCTAATTAAATGACATAAATTGCTAGTTTATTGTACAAAACAAAATTAAAAAATTAAGCATTGCATCCAATAGTTGTTTATTACAAAGGCAACAATTTCCTCAATTATGACTCATTTTTGATGATTTAATGTAGATTATCATGATATTGATGACATGCCAATGAAATATTTCTCAAGAAACGATTTTTAGATTATGTTGACAAATATAAAAATGGCAAACTTTTTATATACTCACTATAAACTAGATTATAAAATATATTTGGTTCTCTTTCTCAACGCATTGAAATAAATCAAGCTGTAACTATGAAAAGACTTTAATTCCTTCATAGAATGACAAACATCAATATACTTCAAGCATCTCCCTTGATTAATTTTCTCGAAAATAAAACCACAGAAATTAGTTTTTACATATCTATCAAACATGATGATCTGAATTGATTAGAGAATAGAAAAAAACTTTATTAAAAAAAACTTTTACTAGTCATTTGAAGCTATAACAATTTCACTACTGCAAGTAAAAGAAAACTCTTTTAATTATTAAACTAATAAACCATAAAAAAAATATTTAAGAACCATATCTTTATTATCTCAAGTATCTTTATTATCTTTATTATCTTAAGTATCTCAACATAAACTTGTTTTGTACAGGGCATCAGAAATTATAAGAAAACTGTTACATCATTTTAAACTTAAATTTCCATATAGAAGCTTCAATTTAGTGGCATTTTAATCCTTTTTTTTTTAATTTTTCACAATAAAAATAGTTAGGTATAAATTTTCATCACTATTGAACAAATATTTACATTAAAGCTATTTGTATAGGGTAATGCATGCAATAAGGTGCTTTAGAAAGACCTAACTTTCTTGTTACACTGAGCACTGCAAAGAAAAACATATAAAAAGGAAGTTCATGCTGCCAATTGTTAAATTATTGTCACAAATACTTTGTCAAAACTAGTTGACAGAACATCTAATTTTTTGAAATGACTGATTAGGCTGGGTGAATAAAAAAAAGCATTTGCTTTTACTCAGCATTATTGGAGTTATTGTTCAGCTTTATGTGAATAAAAGTTTGAACAAAATTGCTGAAGTTTTTACTCATGTAAAGCTGACCAATTACTGAGTAGAAGCAATTGCCTTTTTTTTAACCCAGCCTATTAACTAATTTACGATTAACTTACATCTTATTTACTCCAATATCAAGTTTTAGCCATTTGTGCTTTGTGATCAAATAAAAGCATTTTTATTACAGCAGCTTTTAAAAATAACTTTATGCATGTAGTATAAAAGCATAAACATCTTTTAAGATATAACTGTTATCATAGTAAATTAAGTATTATTAAACATGAAGCGTTTTTAATACTTTTAAATATTTTTCAACATTGTTGGTTGTTTATATATAAAATAACATGCAGCCCTAAGAACTAGGAAAAATAAGGTCGGCAAATTATTGCAGACCTTAATCTGTGTGAAGTCGGCATCAGGTTAGTAGAAAAATGTAAAACAAAGGTTTGACAATAAAACATAGAAACGAGGTTGCAATTTTTTTGCTGAACTCAAACACGTCGAGGTCGTAAGATGGGCATTGCTAAATGCTGAACCTAATTTAGAGGATTGAACTTATAACAGCAACAATTACTTGCACAGAAAATCCAATATTTATGCATCTCTCTGCATTTCTACCTACATCCTTAACTATTTAGAAAAAAATAATTAACTAAAACTAACTAATTAGAAGTTTAGTATTATTATCATTTCAATTTATTTGCATTTAAATAAAAATACAAAAAGGTGATACAGGTAATTGGAGAACTACTCTTATGTAACACCAAGTTTAAAACAGTAAACAGCGTCTCTGAATACTGTATGTTTTTAAATTTGATTTAAATAAAGATAATGAAGAGGAATACACCAAATAATCAGGTAAAGAATTCCATATCTTAGTAACTCTTTACATTCTTTTATATGAAAATATTATATTAAGATTTGAACTATTTTTTTATAAAATAGCTTGTACTCAAAATGGCAAAATTAACTTACATGAAATTTGACTAGTACTATTATATGACAAATACTATTTTCACTTGAATAATATTTATTTGTGTTATTTAAGTATAACTTTTTTTTTTCAAATTTTATTATAATTAAAAAACAAATTTTGCATGTAGGAATATAGTTTGTTATTGTGTAGAAAATGTTTTAGCATGTTTTAATTTTTTACAAAATATTTGTACTGTTTTTTTATACTTTTAAGTGAAAAAATGTTTTATCTTTTTAAACCTTTTGTAAAAAAAAAAAAAACACTTGAAAAAAAATTAATGTAACTTAATTTCAAGCTGAAAAAAACTCACTTTTTTTTAATTAGATGCAGATTTTAAAATTCTCCCTCCGAAAATTAAAAGATTAAAACAAACTAGAGTAAAAGCTTTAAATTATGCAAGATAATCAAAAATAATAATTTTATCACTTAATGACATTTGATATTTTAAAACTCATAGAAATATAACTCAAAAGTTAGCCAAACTACAACCAATATATATAGCCTCCAGTAGAAACAATAATGAATATGACAGATTTAAAATTTTAATAAGGAACCAATAAAATAAAGTAATATTAGGCAATTTATTGCCAATATAGGCAATTCCAGAGAACATTCAGAGAGCAATTTATTCTTTCTTCATTCATTCTTAAGCACAAAAAGCACTTTTATGCCAAATAACAGCCAATTTTACAGAATTGCACTTCAATCATTACTTTGCAAAACAATCATTATACCCAACTTTCATTTTTTAAAGGAATTTAACAACAGAGGCAAAAGAATGAAGATAAGCTGAAATTGAAAAAAAGTTGAAAAAAAATTAAAAAAGTACCAGAAAAAGTATTCTGAAAAACCTTTTAAAAACATTTATGTAATTCTATTTGATTATTTATTTATTTGTGATTTTATAATTTATTTGTGATTTTATAATTTATTTGTATTTTCATAATTTATTTGTGTTTTCATAAGTTATTTGTATTTTATAATTTTGCACAAGGCGCAAAAGAATAATAAAATTATAAAATATTAAAAAAAAAATTAAAAAGGTGTAAACTATATTGTTTCTGTAAATTGTATAAAAATCAATTTTTTATAAACCTTTTAAATCTTTACAAAAAAAATCGCATTAAACATTTATTAAAATAAAAATTTAGAATTTTAACTAAATGCCTCCTGTTATTTGAATGTCAAAATTTCAATATTAAAAAAAAATTATTTGACTGTTGTAATTAATACTTTTAAGAAAAAAATTAAAAATTTTAAAAATTGCCTGTTGCAAGGTATTCTGTTGACTGAAAGCATTTTGCATAAACATTCCTTGCTGTTGATGATATGCCATTTGTGGATCTAAGCTAAAACCTGGAGGAACAGCTGCAGGCTAAATAAAACAACAACATTTTTCTAATATATAAATAATCTTAAGTCTAAGAGAACTCCAAAAAATGGCAATTAAATGCTGACCTGAAAAACATTTTGAGCAGTTGGTGGAAATTGAGTTGAGTCACTTGGAGGATTAGGCGGAATTACAGCTGGAGCTGGTTGAAAAGGATTAACAACAGGCCATGCAGGCTGTTGAAAGTTGTAAGGTGGTTGATACATTTATGAAGTACTAGTACATAACTTATTATTAACCTGCAACTAGAATAAACAAATTACAGTTAAACAACTTTTTAGTATCTTTTAACTTTTAAATTATAAGCAGTAAGATAAAAGAAGTAATTAGTTTTATGAAGAACCACTGACAATTATGTAAAAAAAGTTGGTTACAAAAGTTTGAATTACAATTATGTTGGAGTTTATTAAAAAGTTATTAAAAAAAAATTTAAAAGAAACCCATAAATGAAATATTTATAATAAAAAAAATTTAATTATCATCATGCAAGCACAAGAATATTTATAATTATTATTTTTGAAATAAAAAAACTTACTTAAATTTCTATTTAATAATAAAAATAAGTTAATAAAAAAGAGTCTGTAAATAATTATCTGATTTATATATATATATATATATATATATATATATATATATATATATATATATATATATATATATATATATATATATATATATATATACATATATATACATATATATATACACATACATATATATACATATATATATACATATATATATATATATATATATATATATATATACATATATATACATATATATATATATATATATATATATATATATATATATATATATATATATATATATATATATATATATATATATATATATATATATATATATATATATATTAAAGTTTATATAGATATTAAAATTGAAATATTTGAGTTGAACTTTATATTATTAAATATTGTTTAGTATTTAAATTTTTTCTTTTTTTAAAAAAAATTAGCTCTTTTTTATAGCAATTTTTTTTCGCAATGTCCTCTACATTTTTTTTTTTACTTTTAAAAATTTAATTTTTAAAAGTTTTTAAAATTATTCTTATTTTAGCATCACAGTAAGGAAGGAGGCGTGAACTTCCTGGTTAAATGCACTTCCATGGCGCTCTGCGACAAGACCGTTAGGTCTTCTTGGGGCACCTAAATAACAAAACAAAAACAAAAAAAGTAAAGTATTTTTTTATTTAAAACAAGGCATATATACAAGCTTGGTCAGAAAGCGGGAGCGATCACTCTTGAATACTGACCACGGAAATTATATTTAGTTGCGAAAAACTGGCCAGGTTTTAGTCGTTTTGAGAACCTTTAAGTTTATGTACGAAACAAAAAATTTTTGTTTTATGGACATACGTGGAAACATAAACAACTTGAATGTTCTCAAAATATCTTGGTGCGAAAGAATAAAAAGAATATTCGCGAACACTAAAAACCCGCCAAATTAACGAACAAAGTAATTTTATTGGTTCAAAAAATACGCTGACTAAGCGAAATAAAGTTTTAGAGTATTCTGTTGAAATGTTTTAGAAATTGTATTATTATATATTATTGTATAATGTACGATTTGTTACATTTTGAGATTTCTAGCATAAATTGTTTTAAGAATATATATTATTTATTTACAAAAATAAATGTTTTAAATATATATTAATTAAATTGTCAAAATTTTAAAAGTTTAATATAAATTATAGATTTTATTAGTATATTTTTACTTTTTATTTAAAAAGTATGTATTCTTAATGTAAATGTAATTGTGTGTATCTGTTTTTTATTGTAATGTATCTTTTAAAGCAATTATTATGATTTAAACAAAGACTTACACAAATATTTGCGTTTTCAATGAAGTTATAATCGTCCAAATTAATAAAATTAATTATGTAACAAACATATAAGAAGTTTCTGGTTACTAAACACAAACAATGCATATGAAGTAACTCGCGGATAAACAAGCACCGCGTACGACAGAGCACAAATATTTATAGCAAATAACTAGATTCAAAGAAAAGTTTCTAGATATGGGTTTACTGACTCTAATTATTATCGCTTAAGTTGTCATTGTTAAAACTCGTTATACTTTTTTCTGCTTTGAATACTAATAAAAATTAAAAAGCCCACTCACTAAACATTATCAGCGATATTGTGAAACAGTTTCGCTTCCTCGTCATTAAGTATTTTTAACCTTTTTAGTTGATTTCTATTTTGTTAATTTAATTTCTATAGTAATTCAATAATTTAACTATTTCATTTGTTCATATTTCATAAAAGAATTGCTTCAAATATGTTAAATTTTTCAAACTACGCGAAACATAAAATAGGTATTAAAAAAATAAACTTTTTTATTTATAAAATAATTTAGCTTAAATAAAACTAAAACTTGCAAACTTTGTTAATAAAGAAATTTGTTTCCTTTTTAAACAATCGTAAGTTGTTACTTTATATAAAAAATATCGTCTAATTTTATAAAAAAATTATAAAAGAGCGATGTTTCTATAATATTTGTTCTAAACGTAATTTATTTAGCTTTAATTTTTTTTAATTGTCTCTTAATCAATTTTAATTGTCTCTCATCGGTCCAATTAATCTTGATCGCTTTTTTTTTTTTTGCTTTTAAAAATGTTCTCAAAACGACTAAAAAATCTGGCCAGCTTTTCGCAACTAAATAATATTTACGTGGTCAGCAATCGAGAGCGATCACTCCCGTTTCCCAACCAAGCTTATATATATATATATATATATATATATATATATATATATATATATATATATATATATATATATATATATATATATATATATATATATATATATATATATATATATATATATATATATATACACACATCAACCCTCAGAGTTAAAAAAATGAGGTCTGCAAACTATTGCCGAACTCATTTTTTTAACTCCTCAATCTTTTTAGATCTGCAGTTAGGCCGGCATTGTGCTAAATGCTGACCCTAATTTCGAGGACTGCATATGTGTGTGTGTGTTTATATATATATATATATATATATATATATATATATATATATATATATATATATATACATACACATATAGGCTTGGCCAGGAAGGCGAGCAATTTAAAGTCTTTTTATGACTACAAAAATATTTTGTTTTGATGATTTAACCACGGTTTTTAACAAATGTGCTGAAAAAATTGGTTTTTAATTATATTGAAAATAAATAACTTCAACACGTTTATCTTTACTAACATTTTTATATTAGTAAAACGCTGTTAAATTAAATTTTTTTATTTATATCATTTAATTATATAAGATTTTTTTGTAGTAACAACTAAAAAAAAAATTAAATTTTATAAGAGATGACTTTAAACAGCAAAGGTCCCTTATGCTTTATATTATTGAAGCGCATTTAAATAAAGTAACAAATTACTGCTAATGATTTTTTATAAAAACATTATTGAGTAATATATATATTTTAATATTTATATAAGTATTTATTTTTTATTTTAAATGTTTTTAAATAAAAAAATATTAATTTTTTAAATAAACAATTTAATTATTTTTTTTTTTGGGCGAAGAATTTTTAAGAATCTTTTTTAAACTTTTAAATGTACACTTTTATTAAACAATTGTCAGTAACTGACGATAACAACTGTTTTAAGTTACTTTATTTAAAAAAGGTTTCACATAATATTATATTATAAAAACATTAGTAAAGATAAACGATTCTAAGTTATTTATTCCAAACCTAGTTTAGATAATCATACTGTTATAGTTTATTATTTATTTAAGTTAAGTTTTAATTATTTTTTTTACAAAGATTTATTTGCTCCTTTTACAATAAGTTTTTTTAAGTTTCTTTATAGCTAAGTTAAGATAATTTTTTAAGCATGTTTTTAAAACACATACAAATTTTCAAAACATATAAACAGCCATGGTCAAGTTAAGTTAAATCAAATAGTATTTGCCTGAAATCACACATTTAAGGGTCATAACACTTGATACTTTTAAGCTAAATGAACCAAAAATGGAAATTTGCCAGAAATGTGAAATACTATCATATAATTTAGTATACAAAAGTTACAGCATTAAAGTCTTTTTTCAAAAATTACCTTTATATAGCGAAACTAGGTTTCGCTACGTAGAGATAATTTTACATAGAGGTAAAATATAGCAAACAGCATAGTAAAAATCAATTATTTCGTGTGTGTATTTAGCACATATTGATATTTTTTTATGCTGAGAATAAATTTGAAGTTTTACAAAACTGTAAATAAGTTTTACAAGACTGTAAATAAGTGTCAAAAAATGTTTATACAACCCTTATAATTTTAAAACCATGGTATAGTATAATAAATCATTCTTTTAAATAACTTTTTTGCTTAAAAGTATTTTTAAATAGTTAAAAGAAAAGTTATGGAGTTTAGAATGTGTCTTCATAACTCTTTTGTTTGTTTTTTTTTTCCTCTTTCTTGCGGAATTACAAACTTAAATTTATAAATATATTTGCATACAATAAAAAATTTTTAGAAAAAACCAAACATCAAACTGAAAAAGTCTAAGGGAGTAAAGAAACAAATAAGAACAAAAATGAAACAGAATCACAGCAAAGTGAAACAAAAGTAAATAGAAATGAGTGCAAAAAACTAACAGAAAACAAAAAAGTGCAGTGTAAATATCAAAAAAATATATATATACCTAACATTGGGCATTTAGTAAATGTTGCATCCCCTAGAGTTATAGTTAAACTTTCTGTTCATTCTGACTTTTATTTGAAGATATATTATTAACATACTTTAAAATTATTAGTATTACTTTTTAATATTATAATTGTAACAAATATTTTGCAAAAACAAAAGTTGAAGAGATATGTTTAAGAAATAAGTTTACAAAACATTTACTCTATTTTTCTGCCTTTTTTGTAATTATTTTTTTCCCTAAAATAATTGCTTCTTTTGTAGCTTTTGATATATTAAATGTTATACTAAAGTATGTATGTATGTATGTATAAATATATATATATATATATATATATATATATATATATATATATATATATATATATATATATATATATATATATATATATATATATATATATATATATAGAGAGAGAGAGAGAGAGAGAGAGAGAGAAAAAGAGAGAGAAAGAGAGAAAGAGAGAGAGAGAGGGAGAGGAGAGAGAGAAAAAAAAAGAGAAGATATAATATCAATATAATAAATTAAGCTTATATCTATTACGATTGTAGACAAACTATTAAACTGTAGAAATTGTAGAAAAATTATTAAA